CAGCAACCAAGATTACACCATTAGAAGGCATATGCCCATAAAGACTGATACGCACCCAAAATAAGAGATGGTTTACTCAGAAAAAAAGGAAGGATGCAAATCAGGCAAATCAGAATATACAAGGAAGGCTTAACTCAAGGGATTTGACAAAAATAGATAGAGGCATAATCATCTCAACAATCATCTCCACAATCATCTCCTTTCTATAATTATTTATTTCCTAGCACTATAAATTAGAATCTCTAGATGAGAGTAAATCATCCAATAATCTTCCATAGTCTTTAAGCTTTAGTAGCTAGGCAAGAGCCTAAAACTCTTGTGGGGCAAGAGCCTAAAACTCTTGTTGGGGAAAGTCTTGTGACTTCCTGTTCTTTTTCTTAAGTTTCAGTCAATAAAGCATACCTTTGTTCTTATCTCTAACAAATTGGTCCGACCTGCCGTTGAATGGCGAACACACGTGATTCCCGCATAGAGACGTTAGAGAAGAACCAAGATGCACTGCGTACTGAATTCACTACATTGACCGATCGATTTGCAGCCGTAGAAGCTTTTGTGGCTAGGATGTCTGATCTCATCGCTCTCTCCTTCCAAGGCGGAGGGCACAACAATGCCAGTGCTTCATCAACTTCCATCCCAACGCCGAATTCAACCTCTCTCCCAGAACATGTTCAGCCGGACAACACCTCGCTGCCCATTGGAAAAACAGAACTCCCTACATTTGAAGGCACCGATCCAATTGGGTGGTTAGCTAGAGTGGAGCAGTACTTTGCCATTCATCACACCCGAGAGGATTTGAAGGTCCCAACAGCTTTCGTTAGTATGGAGGGGGCAGCTCTACATTGGCTCCGATGGCTACAACAACAACAACCCACTCTTACTTGGACTCAATTCACACATGACCTTTTGGAAGAATTTGGCGACGAATTGCCTGGGCCACCGTTTGAACAGCTTGCCGCTCTTCGTCAAACGGGGTTGGTGGATGAATTCATCGCTGCGTTTCGAGCTCGCATTGCCCAAATTCCTGGACTTGCTCCTCACATTCAATTAGGGCTTTTTCTCAACGGCTTGAAACCTGCAATTCGGGTGCGGCTTCGACCGAATGATGTGACAGATCTCCGAACAGCGATGCGTGTCGCTCGCGCGGCAGAACGAGAAATTGAATTTCTCTCCACAGGCCGGCTCCTTGGACGCAGTCTGAAAGACGAAAATGCAGCGCTCCAGATAATTCATTCACATAGTGGGTCTACTTGGTCTAATGGGCATGGGAAGAATTCCCAAACCAATTCTGTTTTGAATTATTCACAGCCCAAACCCATTCCAACCCAGTCTCAATTTTCTGGCAGCAATCAAACATCTTCCTTCCCCTCCCAAACACAACCTGCGTTTCCTGCTATGCAGTCTTCAGTACGCAATTCCAGCACATCAACATCACGAGCTCCGGCACGACATTATTCTAACAAAGAGTATCTGGACATGCGCGCCAAAGGGCTTTGTTTCCGTTGTCAGCAACCGTATAGTCCGCTTCATGTATGCCCGAATAAATCCTTGCAAACTCTAATTGCAGCAGAGGATGACGAGGACGAAACGAGTGACGAGCCTGGTGTAACTGACCAAATCGACACCGAACAATATAGGGCAGTCTTTCCAATCTAGCCTTGGGGACAAGGCTGTTTCTTTGGTGGGTGGCAATGATACGCACCCAAAATAAGAGATGGTTTACTCAGAAAAAAAGGAAGGATGCAAATCAGGCAAATCAGAATATACAAGGAAGGCTTAACTCAAGGGATTTGACAAAAATAGATAGAGGCATAATCATCTCAACAATCATCTCCACAATCATCTCCTTTCTATAATTATTTATTTCCTAGCACTATAAATTAGAATCTCTAGATGAGAGTAAATCATCCAATAATCTTCCATAGTCTTTAAGCTTTAGTAGCTAGGCAAGAGCCTAAAACTCTTGTGGGGCAAGAGCCTAAAACTCTTGTTGGGGCAAGAGCCTAAAACTCTTGTTGGGGAAAGTCTTGTGACTTCCTGTTCTTTTTCTTAAGTTTCAGTCAATAAAGCATACCTTTGTTCTTATCTCTAACAAAGACTCACAAAAAAAGGTGAAATATAGAAGACGTACAAGATTGTAGTCTTAACAACACTGCTGTAGTTAGCACCACCTGCTTTGAGTATCTCCCCCATGTTCTTTAGAACCTGAATACAATTAAGGCTCAAATGCATTAATCACCAATTTATGCAAGTGAAGTTGACTCATATCAAGATAGCTTGGTTAAAAATGTAATGACCAAAACTACGGAAGAAGGGATCCTAGTCCAGCAACCCAAAAATGTTAATTTGATAGCTAGGCAGTAGGCACATGTGAAATTTTGGAAACACAGACAAATGAGGAAAAGGGATCAAATGCAATTTATTCAGTGAATATATTACCTGCTCTGTTTGGTCCTCCACATTATCCGACAAAAACTTCCCAGTCTGCATCAATATAAAATATCTCAAAATTAAATGTTCAACCATGTACAACAACATATCACCATATGAAACAATTTTAAGAAAATATATTAATTATACCAAAAAAAAAAAAGAGATACAATAAGACATAGTTTGAGTATGGTATGAGCTTAAAGGTGCCTCCTATAGTTCTTTAGGGCCTACTCAGGATCTAACAAAAAAAAAAAAAAAAAAAAAACAAAGATACTGTAACATGATAGACCTCTGGAACAAGACCAAGAACTCCAGATACAAAAAGAAGATTATTTGCTTTGATGGCTTGAGAGTAAGGCCCCAGTGCAGCTGGAGCCTTTTCAGTATGAACAGCCTCCTTTCCACCTGATACAATAGTAATCACATCAGACACAAGAAAACCACAGCATAGTAACATCAAAATGGAAGGGACAGTCGCACAGTCACACAATATATGCCCATAAAACACCGGAATGGCAGAATGCATTACTCTCCCTGGCTTTTAGACACAATTATACAGAATAGTTCTTTCAATTACTCCATCTCTTATAAGAAACAAATAAGGAATTAAACCTTATCATATGCCAATCCTACAAATTTTAGGAAATGTCCTACCAATCCGATCCGTTTTGCATCAACTTAAACCGACTGGAAGCAATTGACTATTCCAGTAAACATGTGCCGGTGAATACAGAAAATAAATCTTAAAAACTCAAAACATTTTCCAGTGCATCAGTCACAGAACGAAGAACAATCATTCCGAATAAGCTTTTGACAAATAATCTTATCCTTTGATGATCACAGAGCATTATCGAGTTAATTTAGTGTGAGGGACTCACTTGTATCAGTAGAAGCGCTTAAAGAAGCGAAAGGCTTTGACGAGCGGCGAGAGGTCGCAGGCAGCAGTGATACACGGCCTGCGCGGGCAAAGGCTGAGGGAGCAGGGTTGCGAAATGCGCAGACGTCGGAGGGGCGCAAATGGAGAGTCTTTGCTGCGGCGGACCAGGAGGCCATTGATTTCTCCGCTTCACTCACCAAATCCCTCAACTACTGTGACGCTCAACTTCGACTGCGCTTTGCTGCTTTTGCTTCTTCCTCTACTGTCCATTTTATACTCCGTAATTTATAGTGCCAAAAACGTTGTTGTATATAATTTATTTATGAAATTAATTTATTTCTAATTATTTTGAGATTTTTACTTTATAATTTTTAATATATAAATTTTATTCTTTATTTTGTTAAGTAGCCACTCATGATTCAGTTCATCTGTCCATAAAGACAAACAAAAGTCTTAAAATCAGGTTCAAATTTTAATCTTTGGTGAAAAAAAGGCAGCTAATAATCAACTTCATCTAACCCGATCAAACTAAAAAAAATCAATAAACACTTTTTGGGAGTAGTTAAATTTAGAACATTATAGTTACCAAGCCTTTGACCAACTTAGCTGGAATTACTCCTATAGTTGTTGGCTTCCACAGCTGAAATAATAGTGATGCTACCATATTACTCCATATCGAGCGTAGTGTAATACAACATAGCTCTCCTTGGCAATTGATTAACTCTTTCCCCGCTCCCTTACTCTTAAGGATTTAAATTGTCATTTCCTTGAGCTTGTGTCGTTCTTCTTTGCTTTTTAAGTTGTGTGGCCAATGGCCATGGCAATACGAGAAGCTTTGAGCTTGCTAAAGGCTCATAACTATGACAAAATTTGCATCGAAATCGACTCTCTTCTGGTTGTGCAAGGAATCAAATCTTTAAATGGTGTTTCTTCTTTTTATCTCATTCTAAGTGATATCAAAAACTTGCTGAGTAATTTTTCTCATGTAAGTTTAAATTTCGTGAAACAATCTGCAAACCAGACAACTCAATTACTTGTTAAGCATTCCATTTCTATATCAAATTGTTCGAAGTGATTTATTGACCATCCGACTAGCATTTGTAATGTTATGAGTTTAGAAATGAATTGCCCGCATGGAAAGGTCATTTAGTCATAGGAGTGAAGTTTGGGAAGAATGACCATGGTTCAACTGAGCATAATACACATAAATTGGACAGTATACACTTAACTAGTTTTAATGCTCAATGTTTATATTTAAATAAATATTTGAAAGTATATGCTCATTGTGCGCAGTAAAGTTCAACTGAGCATAATTGGACAGTATGCACTTAACTAGTTTTAATGCCTAATGTTTATATTTAAATAAATATTTTAAAAGTACATCAATGTAAGATTATGAACACTAAATTTTGAGAATTATTGCAAGAATATATCATATAAATACTCACTAGTCACTACCCAGAGTCTCTTAGAATCTTGCCATCTTCTTTCATCATTCCTGAAATTCCACCATTCAGGTTAGATCTGCAGCTTCCTTCATTTTCTATCTGCCATACACATTCCTGCTACTCTCTGAATCTTGATTGGCTACTTCAAAAATAATTTATGAAATGGATTTTAGTTTGTAGCTTCTTTCATGTGATTTTGTTTGGTTTGGTTTCTTCTTGTATTATTCAGTTACTGTAACACAATATTCAGTTACTCATCATCCATGGCAGTCTAAATAGCAAATGCTTCAAAAATACTACATTCTTAAGCACCCAGTCTTTAAACAAGAAGGTCTAGACTCTAGACATGTAACCATGGCATTATTAAATATAACAGCCCATTCCCAACAAGCTGGATTATAGCCAAGACTTGGTGTACAAGAAGGTCTAGACATTTAACCATGGCATTATTAATTATAACAGCCCAACAAGCTGGATTATAGCCAAGACTACTGGGACTTTACAATGCTGCTATGCATTCAATTTTTATCTTTGCATCCTTGGGTAGTGCTGCCACCTGAAAAGTTGCACGGGCTGGTTCTGGTGGTGAGAAATCTGCAAAATATTTGAAGCATGTTTCAATTTGTTTAGAGATCATCTTGAAAAAATATGACATGACACAGAAAGCAATCCGCGAGGATCATTTCAGAGTAATCACTAATCAGTAGCCAAGAAATGAGCATTTGACTATAAGTGAATATGTAGTTTCAACTTATCTACTTACATTTAGCATATATCGCATTCACTTTGTTAAAGTCCTTCAAATCAGCTAACCTGTACGGAAATCCAAATAATTGGGCATCAGCAACCAAGATTACACATTAGAAGGCATATGCACCTAAACATTCACAAAGAAAAAAGGTGAAATATAGAAGACATACAAGATTGTAGTCTTAACAACACTGCTATAGTTAGCACCACCCGCTTTGAGTATCTCCCCTATGTTCTTTAGAACCTGAAAACAATTAAGGCTCAAATGCATTAATCAGCAATCTATGCAAGTGAAGTTGACTCATATCAAGATAGCTTGACCAAAACTACGAAAAAAGGGATCCTAATTCCTAGTCCAGCAACCCAAAAATGTTAATTTGATAGCTAGGCACATGCGAAATTTTGGAAACACAGACAAATGAGGAAAAGAGATCAAATGCAATTTATGCAGTGAATATATTACCTGCTCTGTTTGGTCCTCCACATCATCAGACACAAACTCCCCAGTCTGCATCGGTATAAAATATCTCAAAATTAAATGTTCAACCATGTACAACAACATATCACCATATGAAACAATTTTAAGAAAATATATTAATTATACCAAAAAAAAAAAAAAAGGATTAGCATACACATCAATAGATACAATAACACAGTCTTTGAGTAGCTTAAAGGTAGGGTCTATTCAGGATCTAACCAAAAAAAAAAAAGTTAACATGACAGACCTCTGGATCAAGACCAAGCATTCCAGATACAAAAAGAAGATTATTTGCTTTGATGGCTTGAGAGTAAGGCCCCAGTGCAGCTGGAGCCTTATCAGTTTCAACAGCCTCCTTTACACCTGATACAATAGTAATCACATCAGACACAAGAAAACCACAGCATAGTAACATCAAAATGGAAGGGACAGTGCACAGTCACACAATATATGCCCATAAAACACCGGAATGCATTACTCTTATACAGAATAGTTCTTTCAATTAAGGAATTAAACCTTATCATATGCCAATTTTAGGAAATGTCCTACCAATCCGATCCGTTTTGCATATTGACTATTCCAGTAAACATGTGCCGGTGAATACAGAAAATAAATCTTAAAAACTGAAAACATTTTCCAGTACATGAGTCACAGAACGAAGAACAATCATTCCGAATAAGCTGCTTTTGACAAATAATCTTATCCTTTGATAATCACTCACAGAGCATTATGGAGTTAATTTAGTGTGAGGAACTCACTTGTATCAGTAGAAGCGCTTAAGGAAGCGAAAGGCTTTGACGAGCGGCGAGAGGTCGCAGGCAGCAGTGATACACGGCCTGCGCGGGCGAAGGCTGAGGGAGGAGGGTTGCGAAATGCGCAGACGTCGGAGGGGCGCAAATGGAAAGTGTTTGTTGCGACGGAGCAGGATGCCATTGATTTATCCGCTTCACTCACCAAATCCCTCAACTACTGTGAAACTCAATTTGTGCTTCGCTTCTTCCTCTACTGGCGTTCTGGAGCAATTTATAGCGCCAAAAACGTCTTTTTTGCGCTCTGGTGCTTCGCTTCTTCATCTACTGGCGCTCTGGAGTAATTTATGGTGCCAAAAACGTTTTTTTTTTTTTCGTTCCGGTGCTTCGCTTCTTCCTCTACTGGGGCTCCGGAGTAATTTATAGTGCCAAAAACGTTTTCTTTGAGCTTCTTCCTCTGCGGGGGCTCTGGAGGAGCTTCTTCCTCTGCTGGGGCTCTGGACTCCGGAGTAATTTATAGTGCCAAAAACGTTTTTCTTTCTTTGAATATTACTTTGTTAAGTTATACTTTCACAACACGTTAAAATACAAAGAGTTAACACCAATAAACGTTAATTCATTACTGTTGTCGTTCATGTTGTATATTATTTATTTATGAAATTAATTTATTTCTACTTATTTTCTGATTTTTATTTCATAATTTTTAATATATAAATTTTATTCTTTACTTTTTTTTAAAGTAACCGTCTTAGACTTAGACCATCTCCAACCAACACCGAAAAATGGCATATCGGCACCCAAAAAAAAAAAAAAAATTGATGCAAATTGCATCCAACGAACACGCCAAAAAAGCAAAAGTTTTATCGTGGGTGAATAGTATTTGGCGCAATACTATTCATGAACGGCAAAACTTTGATAATCTTTTTTTCATTATTTTTTCCTTGGTCTTTTTTGATAATTTATTTTGTATACATTTTCTAATTTATTTAACTCACATTTTAATGGAACCTGCCACATAAATTGACATTTTTGTCATTTTATAATTGTATGTAACACACCATATTTTTGTATTTAGTAAAGTGTTTCATCTACGGTCCAACTATTGAGCAAAAACTTAATCATTGGAAGGCCAAATTTACACTTGTGAGCCTAATCAATGTTAACCTCGAGTCCAAACTACAGGGCACAGTCCACACAGTTCTATAGACCACTTGTACGTATGAGAAAATTGTAGTGCCCAGCAAGCACATGCACTGAGCACGTATACTGCAACTTGCATTGCAAATTGTAGTGAACACATACATATAATTTTTTCACTTGTACGGAACTCAGATCTCTTAAACCTCAAAGTGGGGCAAACAACATTAGCAAATTGATCGAAAATCAAATCAAAATCAAACAGTATCTAGCTTGCGGCAATAATGCTACTAATTAATGTCTGGTTCCTTAATTCGTATACTGCAACTTGCATTGCAGTTATATATAGACAGACATGCATGCATTAAATTAAACATCTGTCCTGCACATCGGACAACTTCCATGTCGGATGAGCCATTGATCAACGCAGTGTATGTGAAAGGAATGGCTACAACTCGGCAGCATTCTTCCTGACTCTCCATTCTTGAACTCCTGCAAACAGATGGCGCAGCTGATATCTTGATAAGGGCAAGAAGAAGAAGTCTGAAACATGAACTCAGGCAGCTTCTGTATTATATCATGGGATAATCCCTTACTACTGCTCCCATTTATCTCAAATATGTCTGTTATTTCCCTCCTCAAACTTGTCTCCATTGTACTCACCTGCACCATACATACATTGTAATCAATGACCCACTAATTAAGTCACATTGATTTACCACCCCACAAATCTCGTCGGGCCAGAATGTGGGGGGCCGGGGTTTAATTGGGGTGAGGGATTTTGGGTTTTGTGGCAAATATCATTCAGACATCATAGAATTCTCTGAATTAAAGATATTGTTAATAAGATTTGCATGAGTTGAGGATGATACTTACTTGCCACTGGTAAGCTTTGAGAACAGCAGGGCAAACCCAGTCCATGAATACCTTCCCATCCACAAGACTACATACAAGAGCCACCTGCAATATTTACTGGCCAGTAATTAAACTTCTAAGTACTATACATGCCATATATATATACCATCTGATTGAAAAAAAAAAAAAATGTTTTACTTTCTCAGGGACAGATATAAATACAACAAATTAAACTTATCTACCTATGCAAAATATCCCTCATATATTAAATATATCATTCATCTATTTCTCAACCAAAGCAATAAATGTGTCTGGTAGACTGTAATGCATGTGCAGTACGTATGGTAGTGCTATAAATCCCCCTTGCACATGGCATATCAGCATGGTGCCTGCAGAGGCATATATACATTATCTTTTCAACTTAAGTCAGACTAATTTTAAGCACCAAAAATATCTATCCAAGAGTCGCTCCGTCAACCAAAGGTTCCCGGCCCACCCATTATATTGCTTGTATCTCTACATACAAGGAGTCTTCAATTCATTACCACCCCACAGTGCGGCTGGAGCAAGGCTTTAGGGTGATCAGATCAATAAAACTAACTGCGCTAGCCATACGACGATGATGATGTTAATAGATGACATTAATTTATTAATTAATTAATTACCTTGGAAAATGGCTCTCCATTGAGCATAAGTTCAAAGAGCTGGACGGCTGTGATGGCTCCTGCTACAGCACCCACTGCAGCACCTCTTAGAAGCCCAGTTTCTGTGGTCTGCCCTTTCAGTGCTCCTGTTACTATCCCAACTGTTGCACCTCCTACTTAGTTAACAACAAATTAAATGTTCTATCCATCAAATTCGATCTCACTCAATTGAAACACTAATTAACTGTGAAACAAAGATCAGATCAGAGGAGATTTTGATGAATGGAAACTAAGATATATACATACCCAGAGCAAGAACGCACATGAAGAGAGACCAAACAGCATTGTTGAAAACCATGAACAAAATCCGGGATGCAGACCCGACCATATCCATGGGAATCCACGAAGAAGACAAACAACCTCTGCTCTTAACCATCAAACCCTCAATAATTCTTGAAAACAACCTGCAGTTCATCTTTGCAGACCAGACCCCGATCTCTACTAAACACTAGCTAGCTAGGGCTTGTGGTTAGTTGAAGAATGAAGATCAGAGACCGCATTTATTATAGTGCGCGAGAAAAGGGAGGAAGAAGCTAAGCATTTATGGAGAGGTGAATTGAAGTTCGGAGCTACCTAACACGTGCTGGGCATGCATGCATGCATGCATGTTAATTGTCATCCAACCTCAATTCAAACCCATATTTTTTTTCCCATTATATGACTTTGAGACTTGAAAGCTAAGCAATGATGCTCAGCTCCAACTGCATATATGTCTTCAACGAACACTACAAGAATTATAAAATTGACTTGGAAGAAATGACTAAAGTTTCAAATTCGACAGTAACACTGTGATAATTATGTTTATGTGAACAAATTTTATGTGCACATTGATATATGGCCTTGTCTACTGTTGTAATTTACATATATTCTCACATAAGGGATGTGGAGGGTATTTGGAATTGAGGATTCAAAGTTTTGGGAGGGGAAGAAAACAGGGTGCAGGCTCCTGTGGGCTGTTCACTGGCAAATCTGAGCTTTGAAGGAGAATGGGAATGGTCCATCCTAATCCTTATCCACATTTATGGTCCCAAATCCCAATAAATGTAGTCATGTAGATATTTCCTATAGTCTTCTCGTCCCTCCCACTTTCCAATTTGGTTTAGCTTCTTAATTAAATCCAATCAATAATCAAGCCATTATATTGTTTCTCCATCTTCTTAAAAAAACAATTGAATGATCCCATATCAATTCTCAGGTAGTCTGTATTTCTATTTTATAAAGTTAATTCATATAAAGTATATATGTGAAACCGTTTCACGGATCATTGTTCGTGAATCGTGTCGAATCAAGATCAGATGTAATATTTATACTGAAAAATGTAATAATGATAATAAAGAATAAAATGTTTATTACTTATATGGTTAAATGTAGTATGCTTTTGAAAAGAATATAATATTTTTACATTTTTTTTTATTTAAACTTATAGATCTTGACGATCTCATATAAGTGTCACCAAAAGTGTGTGTGTGTATATATATATATATATATATATATATATATATATATATATAGTTTTGTTTTTTGACATTTAAGAATTTGTCATATTCAGCTTTCTTTGACCAAATCTCTAGTCTGCAATTAAGTTCAAAAATAAAAGTGTAATTTTCTTTTGTTTTTTACTTTTTTTTTGTTGTTGTTTTTTTTTTTTTTCAACTAAGGTTGCGACCATAGTGGTAAGGATGGCAGCTTACTAACCGTCTCCTAATTATTTTAATAATTGATCAAACCAAAATATATAGATTGAGATCGAAGAAGCTAGCCAAATAGATCTTACGTCTTTACATATGTTAAATGAATAAGCTAGTTGTTGATGAAGTCTTATATATTTTATAACATTAATATAGGCTCATTCTACTAATTTCAGTAATTTGTAATAATGATGAGGCCAGGTTGAATATAAAAAGATCAAATTAATGGATCTTGCTTTTTAAATTAAAGTGACTAAGAATAAAAATGATTTTTTTTTTTTGAAAAAGTAATCTAAGAAGACATAATTTTGAAGGATATACCAAATTTGAAGTTTGATATGAGGTTGAGAAAGATGAGGTACTTAAAATTGCCTAAAGTTATGAGTTTGGCATCTCATTTGCACATCTTAATCCTATAGCTCAAATGCATATGATCACTCCATTTGGGATTTTATATATTAGTCCAATGACATTCCCCTATTGCATTCACCACTTGATTTGGATCCTGCATATATAGTAGGGCACATACATGTGAGATGTGGCAAATTATGTTGTGGATCCGTGTCCATATTGCAAGGTAAATTCGGGTTATATTCAAAAATTTTAAATTATATATTCACAATATTAGAATTGAATATTCACAATTTTAGATCCCAATACACACAAAATCACATAACTCAATATTCACAATTGCATAACTCTATATTCACAATTTTTGAATTCTATATTCACAAGTACAGAACTCTATATTCACAATTAAATAACTTCAGATTTACAATTACAGAACTGAATATTTACTCGCTAAGTTGTTTTAAATATTTTTTTTTAAAAAATCATTAGTTGTGAATATAACTCAAATTCACTTTGTAAGGTGGACCCCCATGTTCACTTTCTCAACATACTGAAACACAAAGAGTTAATACGACCTTTATTGAACTCGAACCCACAACTTCACATATGAGAGAACGATGAGAACTGATTGTATTATATTTTCTGAACTTGATTACAATGAGATCAGATGATGTGAATATATAGAATAGAGAGTCACTGACAATGATAAGAAGTAGAGAATCACAGTGTGACAAGGATAAGAAGTTCTAAACAGACTCATATACATAGAGTCCTAATACTCCCCCTCAAGCACAGTGTATACTAGTAACCTGTAGCTTGTCCCTTAAGGAAGAAAATCTAGGTCCAGGCAGAGCTTTGGTGAAGATATCAGCAAGTTGATCCTTTGTGGAGATGAAGTTGACTTGGATATCGCCCGAAGCTACTCGATCACGAACAAAATGATAATCAATCTCCACATGCTTGGTGCGCGCATGAAAGATTGGATTGGCACTCATATATGTAGCTCCTAGATTATCACACCATAATTTTGGAATGGAAATACCCGGAATCTGTATCTCACGCAATAATGACATAATCCATAGAACCTCAGCACAAACATCTGCAAGAGCTTTGTATTCAGCCTCAGTGGATGACCTGGCAACAGTTCTCTGTTTCTTGCAAACCCATGATATAAGATTACTCCCCAAGAAAACAGCAAAACCACTCGTGGATTTTCGATCGTCAGGACAACCAGCCCAATCAGAATCAGAGAAAGCATGAATGTCTCTAGATGAGCACCGTCGTATGCGTAAACCATGATCAACTGTTCCCTTAACATACCTGAGTACCCGTTTGAGCTGCTCCCAGTGTGATATGGTGGGAGCATGCATATGCTGGCATAACTGATTAACTGCAAAGGATAGGTCAGGTCGTGTGACAGTGAGATATTGCAGTGCTCCAGCTAGACTCCTGTACTGTGTGGGATCATCATATAGATCTGAATTGAAGGGGACAGTTTTCGAGACAGAGATAGGTGTAGAAAGGGGTTTGCATTCAGACATTCCAGCCCGTTTTAAAATATCATTCATATACCGTTGTTGAGATAAAATAATCCCATTGTCACTCTTAACTGTTTCAATACCCAGAAAAAAATTTGGTTCACCAAGATCTCTGATTTTGAATGTAGCAGACAGTTTGGACAAGAGCTGAGACATAATACCCGGATCACTTCCCATTACAAGAATGTCATCCACGTACACCAATAGATAAACCAAAGCAGAGTCTTTAGAGTAATAGAATAGAGAGACATCTGTCTTGGATGCTTGAAAGCCAACCGATAGTAAGAACGTATGTAGTCGATTAAACCAAGCTCTGGGAGCTTGTTTTAACCCATACAGAGATCTTTTTAACAAACAAACATGATTCGGGAAGTTAGCATCAATATAACCAGGGGGTTGCTTCATATAAACTGTTTCAGCCAGATTACCATTCAGAAAAGCATTATGAACATCTAGCTGTTTGATAGACCACCCAGATGATAAAGCTAGAGATAGAAGGAGTCTTACAGTCGTAGGCTTTACCACTGGACTAAAAGTGTCGAAGAAGTCCTGACCTGGAACCTGATTAAAACCTTTCGCAACCAGCCTGGCTTTATGCCTTTCAATAGCACCATCAGCCTTTCTCTTCGTACGAAACACCCATTTACAGCCAATAATATTCATACCTGCAGTGGGTGGAACTAGAGACCATGTGTGGTTATGCAGGAGAGCATTGAATTCTTGGTCCATGGCTTCACGCCACTCAGGATATTTGACAGCTTGAGAGTAACATGTGGGTTCCGTGGGATGCACTTGAGCTGCTAGAGCAAAAAGAGGAGCATCTGCGTTGCTGCGAGTGGCCATAGAGTGAGTACGAACATTGGGCCTGATGGACCGCCCACGTGGACGGCCTCGCCGGCGAGCAACAGGCTCCACAGGATCACCCGACGAGGTAGCCTGTCCGGGATCCACGGCTGGTTCGAATGAAGCAGGTAGCTGCGGTTCTGGCAGCTCATCATTGGACACGACAGGAATAGGTGTGCTGTGACTGAGAACAGATTCCGCCCAAGGTCCAGAAAACGGAGTAGATAGATCCTGTAAAGAAATTTTAGTAGCAAAGGGGAAAACTTCTTCATCAAATCTGACATGCCTGCATGTGTAAATCTTATTAGTATGTAAGTCCATGCATATGTACCCCCTAAAGGACTCAGGATAACCTAGGAAGACACATGGAGAAGACCTGTATGACATCTTATGACGATTATATGGCCGAAGATGAGGGTAGCATAAACACCCAAAGACACGAAGAAAAAGATAGGAAGGAGGGGATTTATGTAACAGGAGATGAGGACTGGAGTTATTTAATACAGAAGATGGCATTCTGTAATTAAATAGACAGCAGTCTCAAAGGCAAAATCCCAAAATTTCAAAGGAACAGAGGCATGAGCTAGAAGAGCCAGACCAGTTTCAACAATGTGACGATGTTTTCGTTCAACACGACCATTCTGTTCATGTGTATAGGCACAGGATTGTCTATGTTGAATTCCTAATTGAACAAACAAAGAATGCAACTTTTTGTACTCAGCACCTAAATCAGACTGAATGGCCTTTATTTTGCAATTAAAGGACCGTTCAACAAGAGTACGAAATTTATCAAATATGACATAAAGATCATACTTTAATTTCATAGGGAAGAACCATGTATAACGGGAATAGTCATCCACAAAGATCACAAAATAACGGAAGCCAGAAGTAGATAAAGTGGGCGCAGGACCCCAAATGTCTGTGTAAATAAGATCTAGGACTTGAGAACTAGAGGAAGCAACACGGGGGAGGGGAAAACGGGCAGATTTGCCTAATTGACACGCATTGCATAAAGAATTATGACAACGAATATTATCACGAGACCCACTAACCAAACAAGAACGAAGTATATGGCTAAGAACACAGTTATGAGGATGACCCAGACGATTGTGCCAAGTGGAAGCCGAGGCACGAGCAGAAATAAACGCTGACGGAGACGAACTAGG